GGAGCACAGGCTCCGGACGCGCAGGCTCAGTGGCCATGGCTCATGGGCCCAGTCGCTCCGCAGCATGTGGGATCTTCCCGAACCAGGGCACGAACCCGTGTCCCCTGCATCGGCAGGCGGACTCTCAACCACTGCACCACCAGGGAAGCCCAGTCTTTTCAATCTTTTAATAGTTGTATGTCTTTCCTTTCATGCCACCTTCACCTGCCAGGTAGATGATGCTTTTTAGCTGGTGGTAGGCTCCTAGCTAAACATCTTTCCCAAGGCTTTTATGTACCATCCTATTAACTTTTTCTTAGGAAACCCCATCTGCAACCAGTTACTGTTTCCTAACTTCTTAGGTACCTCTGTCTTCATGAAGACCAACTGCTTTGGGAAAAGTAATCATTATGATTGATGTAGTCTAGCAATGACCAAGTGTTATAAAATTATATTGTTTCTAGTAAGTATAAAGAATTTTTGGTAATTGATAAGTATTATTCTGTCTACCCTACAATTGTGTTTAGTAGCTCACCTTCCTTTATGATATCCACTCCACTATTTCACAAGGATAAAAGCAAGATGAAAGAGCGAGATACAGAAGGATGTCTTCAGTGAACCCTTTTAGCATCATTAATCGTGGCTACCTTTCATTGAATTCCAACTAAGTGTCAAGTACTATTATGTGATTTTCACAACAACCCTTTGGAGTAGATGACTGTAAAGAAATAAAATTCCCCAAGTTCTTTTTAGCCCACTGGGTCAGTCAGGAGTTTCCTCCCACCATATCCCATATTCTGTAGATTTATACTGCTCTAACCCTAAACAGTGCCCTTGAACCCACATCCTCAGGACTTCAGGCCTCTCCTCCTAGGCCTGGTCAGCATTTGCCTCTAGTTTCTTGTGGTCTAGTGAGAAATTGTACATCCAGTTGGTTGAACATCCCCTTCCATGGCAGTTCCATAGGATGGCCCACCTCAGAATCCTGAAACTTCTTCCAGACCGTACTTCTGTACTCTTTTCTCATTTAAAATCTCTTCGAGATCTGTCTTTTACACAATTATCATATCCTGAGTTCTTGCCCATTTATTCCTTCCTGTACCTGGAAGATCCATCAGCGTCCAGTTTCATAGCTTCCTCCCCTGGACTGTCAGTGTCTCCTCTGCAGGACTGATTCAGTACTGCTAAGCACAGCCATGCCTCACCAAGTGAGGAAGTGGAGGATGAATCCCCACATCCCCAGATTTCCCCCAGATGAATTTCTGCAGATTGAGTCACAAAACTTGCCACAATTAATTGGTAGATTCCTGGAATCACTCTCACAGTCCTGAAAGAGCCACGATGTCTGTAGGACCCAGAATGGTCCCCATCACTGTTTAAGTCAGGGAAGGATGTTGCCACCAGATGGTGCCAAAACTGCAGCTAGCACCAGGGCACATCTGGATTGTGCAGTCAATACCCCAGAACTCCGGGCTGGCAGACCGCCTAGAGTCACTTGGGTTATTTGTTCTACTCTGAATTCACATCCCCACATTTCATGCAGTTATATTTTTTGGACTTGATTTGTTGAGTTGTGGCAGGGCTTTAATTGATCTCTTGTTTGGCTTGCTGGCTAGACTGTAAAGCCTCTGAGGATAAGGCTTCATTCACTAGTGTTTATTGAGCACCTACTGTATTTTAGCAGGGCAGATTTACCACAATGCTGAGGAAGCTTAAGCTGCGAGTGCCCTCACTTGTGTGAAGCCTGGGACGGGCCCTGGTAAGAAGCTCGTAGTGTTGTACGATTTTGCAAAACTTGCAAACATAAGATATTTTAGCCACAACTTGTTGAAACTGATGTATATTCCCAATTATACTTTATTAAACTTCTCCTCATGACAGGTGGTATTGGAGTGGCCAGGGTCGGCCTCGTGGACTTACAGCCTGTGCAGTAGCACGGGGTCCTGTGCTTGTTCAATGCTCTGCTGTCACTGAAATTCTGAATAATTTTCCATTTCCACTGAGCCCCACAAATTATGTAGCTGGTTCTGGGAGTGGCCATGGGCATTTTTGGACCCAGATAAAGGGAGGTTGAGTTGGGGATAATTAGGATTTAGTGCGATATATTTATGTGGTTCATAGTCACTTCCACGCGTAGTTAAGTTACTGCCAACTCTCCCAGTGGGGGAATGGCTTCCAGGAATACTCCTCTCTCCCACTGCGATGG